AGGCTCAATCGCCGGAGCTTCCACCACTGGAGCCTCAGCGTCAACCCCCGGAGCATCAATTGACGGCGCGTCTGCCACTGCAGGTTCAACAGGCTCAGCCTCGGCGGGCGCAGGCGGCAAGGGAGCAAACCCAGCATCACTTGGGCGAAGGGCATCAGTGGCGGCTGCGTCCTCCTGAATGAGCTGGAGCATGAAAAGTCTTAACTTATTCACAAACTGAAACACTATCCAGTGGTCAGACCTCCCAAAAGCCACTGGAGCAAGACAAAAGACCCATATGGCCACTGAAAAAAATAAAAAACAATGTCAACGTCAAGTCACCGCCTGTTCCATCTCCGACGCCTTTCGCTTCCGCGACCTCCTTGCAAAACCACACTTGGCCTTAGCCTTGGGTTTCGCCTTGGCTTTGCCCTTTGGCTTAGCCTTAGCTTTCTTCTTGGCCATCGCTTTTTTCCACTGGCATTCCACAAGAGACCAACCAGCCTTCTTTCTGCTATCGACCTCCTTGGCCACCAAACGAAACTCATCTTGGTCTTCTGCTGGGAGTTCTGCCAAGACGAACTCATCCAACTCATCACCAATGAGTTTTTCATTCTTCTCCGGCTTGGCCATGTCAGCTTTGATTTTGCTGATGAAATCTTGATCTTGACCACCAATTTCATCAACAAGCTTGTGGATCAAATCAGCTCGCTTCAACCTCTTTGTTTCTTCACTGAGATCGAGAAATCTGCTGAGAACCATCAAGTCGGCAACAGTGACATTCTTACGCAAGGCGACATCAGCAAAGAAAAATCGAAGCAATGTCTCTTTGCCCTGGGGAACCATGAAGATCTGGTCATTGAAGAGTTCCGCCTGGAAGCTCACTACCAGCCAATCCAGCGGGTTCACCAAAAACTTCCAATGGGCCTCACCAGTCGGCGACAAGTAGTAGCCAGTGAAATCTGAATCTTCATCCCAAAACTCCTGCAAAGGCCACATCAGGCATGCCCAGCAAGCATTGCCAAGGCAAAACCCAATATAGTCAGACGGAATGTGCTTAAGGACGTGAAGCTCTACCGCAAATTTTGACAGCAAGCCACGGGACATTGGAATCCCCTCCCGGCCCATGCCCTCTGCAGTGTAGTGTCTGAGGAATGCGAGGGCTGCAAAACCTCTGTGAAGCATGTCTTCAGATAGAGTGGACCAGTGCTTCCTGCCCATTATCGTCGACCAGTGTTTGGCAAGTTTGTGATGGCGAGCCCAATAACGCCTGAATGAGCAGGAACAGAAAAAATGTTGAGCTGTTGTGTAGTAGTAGAAGCAAATGTCTTTCAACAATCAACATACTTCCATGCCATTAAACAATTTTAGTTTGAAATACTAGCGCTACTCTTATTATTGTCATCCACTTGACTTTTGTTTGTCAAAACACCACGCCTCTTGCGCGCTTTGTCTGGTGTTCTGGGAAATTCCTGCAAGAACACTGCTCGGTCCACCATCGGTTTGTGCACAATCTTTCGGCTTGAAAGTTGCTTCGACTGTGTCACCAGCTCCATAATGTGGTGCAAGGTCTGCCGCCTCGTCTTTTGTGATTTGGCATCATTCCTCAAGACACCATGAAGATCTTCAATGAGTTTGTTATCCGGAAGGGTCCTCAAGAGACCACATAGCCAGTGGCGTCCTGCTGGAGAGTCACATCGGTAAAAGTCTTCCTCAAATGCCTGCATCATGAGCTTGACAGGGGGAGTGAATACTTGACGCAAATCTTCAAGAAGCTGAACGGTTCTGCCAGAATCAGCAGCACACTGTTCCAACTGCAGAACAGCAATGTGATCTCGCTTCAGCAAGCGGGCTGCTGCCTGACAGGTGGAACAATGACAAGCTTCAAGTCAATGTCATACAGTCACGAAAAAACATAGTTCACCGTAACTAGCAAACAAGGCGAGGTCACCGGCAAGCACCAACATAGTTCAGTGGGCCAGCTAATTCACAAACCTAATTGAAATCTAATCTATTCTGATTCACTGCTGGAACCAGACATTGACATTGTCAAGTTAGCTACAATCACCAGACACCTGCTGCTTGTCAACATCTGGGTGCAAAAGCTCAGCATAGCAGTCTGGTGGCGCGCTTGCCCGACTCAAACTCCATGTGCGCTGCATGAGCAAGTGGACTGTGAGGTCCAAAGTCGAACTTGCTATGTCGGCTCTAACCTCGCAAAACTCACGTCTGCGCAAAAGATCAAGCAATTCCTTGCTTTTGGCAATGGGCACAGCAGCGGTTTCCTGCAAATGCGGGTCCTTCTGCCACTGGGTTGCCAAAATCAAAAGTTGAGCAACATGGTCATCGGAGTTCTTGATTTTTTTGACTGAAGACGCGTACCAGGACCATGTGGGCCGAGTCACCATGCTGAGAATGAGGACTTGCTGAAGGAGACGAGTTGACATCAAATAATACACTAGCTTGAGGCCTCCTCCCAACTTCTCTTTGAGAAGGCTGAACTGCTTCCGAGCATTCACTTTCTCATCCGTATCAGCCATTCGCGCAATGGCATCAAGCTCACGCTTCTTGGCAGCTAAATCAGGATCCACATCCTGATTGTCTGGGAAGTGGTATTGCAGCGCCAACTTCAAGACGTGCCAGGAACTCAACTGCTCCTCACAACATTGATTCCAGCTGAACCACCTGCCGGGTTTCGGCATGGACATCTTGGCTCCAAAGATTGGTGTTGTGGGAAGTTTGCGCCACACGTCGTGCATCGTTGAAGATGCAGGCATTTGGAGGTCATCCCTGATGGTTTCCCACATATCATGGAAAAGCGGGAAAGTCTCTGGGTTCTCCCGAGCAAGCATCACCTCCAGAATACGAATTTTGTCTTCATGGAAGCCAGAAGAATTATAAGGACGATAGCTGAGAGCCCAAAGGTATTGGGAGTACATCTGTGCCTGGAGAAACCGACCGTTGCAGCTGTGCAGCAAAGATAGTTTGACATCGCGAATGCTTCTGTGGTACACATCCCAGCGTACTGACACCAGCTTACCAAGATGATGAATTGCATACCTGGGAAGGGGGCAATGGAAAACCCAAGAGGAAGAAATCAAGGATTAAAGCTCACCAAAGCAAAAACCTGCACGAACTCCAAGTCAAAACTTCTCAGACCCCACGAGACTATTGAAAAAACTCCAGAAAGTCGATCCCACACATTGAATGGACACAATAAAATATATCTAAATTAAAAGTAGGCACGCAGCAGCAGAAGTGCATGTTGGCCCTTGGTCAAATTGCAAAACTAACAAGGGCAGTTGTTTCCACCAATCTCTGTTCGCAGGCATCACAGCAACTTCTTCGTCAGATGTACGACATCTGTGAAATGCTCGGTTTCTCAGACCCTCTCTGCGGATCACACGTTGGAACCCTGGCTTGACCATGGAAACGCACATGTCCTCTGGAACAGAGAAAGCGTCCAAATTTGGAAGGCGGCCTGCTGTAATCAAATGAACCTGGTGGCTCACTGCCTGCAAGAGCCGCAAAGATGCCACACGCTCCACTTTGCTTTCCTGCAGGTTCAAATGGCGCAGCGCTGCGCAGAGCTAGACAAGACTAGATAGCGAGGTTCATCAAGAACTTTCAAGACCAGCTAGACGACGATGCAAAGCATTCACATCTGATGACAGGTTTCACACTCAACAATTGCTCGTGTAATTTAGTCTTTCAAATTTCTTAAGCTTCAAGAATGTTATGACATTCAATGACTGGCAGTCAGTCCTGGGCGAGCTGTTCAATCAAATGGGTAAGGTCCATTTCTCCAGGGGCAATTTGATCCAGTGGCATAATGACCTGCACAGGGCATATCGCTGCAGTACTGTTTTCCCAACTCCAGGCCACTGTCACCAACACCTCCTTGTTGGCATGCCTGCTCCCATCTGCGACCAAACATATGTGTGTCGCCCCTGCAAATGCAACCACCGCTCGGTTATCGTAAATCTGCTGGTGACGCCGCATCCAAGCGTCAGTGGCATTGGGATGGGCACCGGCGACAATTGACAACCTCTCAGTGTTTTTCAGAAAATTTACACCTTCTCTGACAGATAGACCTGCATCCTTGGACTTGTCGATCAACTCAAAAATTGTATCCGCTGTCATTTGGACCCGCTTGGCAACCTGACCTCCATTGGAACGACGTCTCGATGGCACAGATGCTGAACAGTCATGCTCAGACATGAAATGGTCGAGAACAAAGGAGTCCAAGCGGTGAGCCAAGAATGCAACCAATGCAGTGAGAACACAGTGAAGTGTCATACCTGTCTGACTGTCACGCGGCCATACATGTTTGTCTTTGGATCGTCTCTTCCTATCAATTTCAAAGCAAAATCTCACCAGGTCAGTCAGCAGAACACCCGAGTCATTTGGCTGCGAAGACAACTCACCTTGTTCAAACATTGCCATCCATTCACTTTGCCATGTCTGCCATACCATGGCATGTCTGCCTGAAATGGCAGAAGCCAAACCTTCAACCAAGCCCCCAGGAAGAACACGAAGAGGTGGAAGGTCATCCGATAGTACCATTTCACAAGGCCCACGCATGTGACTCATCGCCCGGCCACAAATTGTTGGAATCCAATCCCTGCAGAAACTAATAATGGACTGGGATCTAGCGTCTCGCAAAACAAAAGCCAGGAAAGAAAGCACAGCGCTGGACTTGGCAACATGATGTGGAAGGGCATTGTGTGGGAGGTCTGCACTTTTCATGTGAAGCCAATCCTGCACATCCCCTGACAAGAGCCGGGTTTGTTTCACAGAGTCTCTGAAAAACGTTACCCATCTGAAGTATTTTCTCTTTTCTCCTTTGCCCACTAGCTTCTCGTGTAAAAAACTGAGGCACCACCAAAGCTGAGCTGGCTCCCCATGTCCCTCCACTCGAAAGGCAGCTTTGGACAGCAATCCACTATCTTCCGTCAAAGATAGCTGCTGACATTGATCCAGCAAGAGCATTGATCTAGCAAAGACCGGAAAACAGCTAGCTGCTGTGTTTGAAAACAATGTTTGTCGAGTCAAAGCAGCTGTTCAATTCAGAATTCAGGTTAATGGTCTGGCTGCCAGTCTGACCCTGTCGAATAAGTAAGTTAGTTAGCACATGCCATGTAACAGAATGATCTTGACTCCTGTTATTGACTCTCCAACAATACTACTACCTCAAAGCTTGACAATATAGCCAATGGCGGGTCGCAAAACTGTGGCATTGACACTTGACAATGGTCGTAAGTCTAGTAGAGCTTGGATCAAGCCACTCACATATTATGTCTATCTTGTGTTGCTAGAGTCACCCAAAAAAAGAAGACAGCAGCACTACCCCATCTGCAGTGGCACCGGACAAATGACTAAGGTACTCACAACTTTGAATCACAATCAAATGAGGCCCAGGCTCATTGATTGATATTGTAACAGTGTGCACTTCACACTCACTCGGCTTCTTATTTTCCTTTCCTCTTCAAAGCAAGTATCTAATTAAATTCAAGCCTGACGGAATGAACTTGTAACGATATGAATTAGGCGTTGCCTGCCTGCGGTCCAAGTCGACCTCTATAGGCATAGGCACTGCCCGGCAAGAAACATCCAGTAGCCCCAAAAAGGACAGAATGCCAAGGCTCACTGAATGAATTTCGAGGGTCAATTACCCAAAGAAACCGCTACTATGACTCTACTGGACACAGTTCATCTCCAACGCAGACACCATCACTAGGTACTTGCAATTTGAAATTCATTGGGCTGACCGAAAATTGGACTCTTGGTGGGTTCACTGTTCTGTGTTTTCAACACATCAACATCTGAATCCCTGGAAGCTCCCTCAGCCTCACGGAGCAATGTTCGAGCACGCATGGCCACACTCTCCCAGGCGCGCTTGGAAAAATGTGGTTGGGTGTACTCAAACAAGTCAAGGGGTGGTTCCACACCACGCTCCGAAAACTTCCCAGCAATGGCAGAAGCAAGCTGCAGTCGTTTGAATACAGTGACTGAGTGAAGCTCTTGAATTGTCTTCCCATGATCAGCTTTGCCATCAGCGTCCATGTTGCAAACTGTGCGGCAGAAGCGGACAAAGTTATATAGATTAGAACAAACTTGAACCACGATCAGTCGACAGATCTACATTGAAAGTTCTAAGTCTCCAAGATGCGCAGCACTTGCATTGAATAAGAAATAAATAGTGGTCTGCTGAAGAAGATTTGAAACTTGATACGCTTTCCCAGCTCATTGAGACAAACTAGTATGTCTCTCTGTGATACTACCAAGGTCATGCATATTCATTTGCAAGATTCGCTTTAAAATTTGAAACAGCCATCATTTCTGGATTGGGATCCGGACATGGTTCGTGAAGAATCCATTGGAGCAACCTGGAATCAAATCCAAATTCTTCGAATGCTTATGCACTTTTTAAAAGGTTCCCACCAAACATGGAGACCTAAGCCAGAATTAAATTAGTAAGGCTATCAGAGACACGACATTAACATCTCACCGTGTTTCATTACCCATCAGGGTCCAGAACTTTTTTCCCCCTCAACATGCGCCATCGCTACTACCACTAAGATAAACTATCAGCCGCAAAGGCTAACTTCAAAGGGCAGCAGCTGAAACACATGACTGCAATGCGCAATCGAATTGCTGCAGACTAATGCAGTGCAGTCAGAATGCCTGACTGTCGCCTAATTTTGGTGGGCAAGAAAAGCTTGGATAATGGCACGCCCAAATTGTATTGAATAGGCTTGCGATTGCTTCAGCTGAGTCTTGTTCCCCGTGAATCCAGCCTCATTACGGGTCACTAGTGCCTCTTCTTCTTGGGTGCAACCAAATGGTTTTGGGCGACTCAAATCCCGAAGAAAGGCAGCATGACTCCAAAGCTGGAGTGGCTTGAGTGTTTGCCCGCCGAAACAGTAATGGTATGTAAGTGTCTTCTCTGCTTGCGCATACCGCAAAACTGAAGCCATGCATCCCGAAGCAGGAAGCACTGAGTTCTGAGGCTGTTCCAAGCCAAACCGAAGCAACATCAAGAAGCCCAATAAGATCAAAAGCGCCGACAAATCACCCAGGCAGTTCCCTTCTGCCACAAAATATTTGGACTGGTCCCCCAAGTACCAGTTCTCAGAGGATCGCATTGACTGCGCTCGACACATGATTGTGTAGCTGTTGCATGGGGATCCAAGCCATTGCAAAGCTCCTGGCGCAGACGCTGCCAGCAAGGACAGTGCTAGTATCAATCCATGTGGCTCTAGCACATCATGCTCCTGGCTCACCACTTTGTCCATGGCCGCAGCATTCAGGCCGGATTCCACTGCTGCCAAAGTGAGGTTGCCTTTGCCACAAAAGTACTCAATGCATTGAAGCTTCGATCTCCCGCCGGCTCGATGATACCATGTTCTCACCACTAACGCTGTCAGCATATCAGCCAACGGCATTCCACGCATCCATGGGAAAGCAGCTTCTAAGTATAGTGGCCACATTTGCTGAGCCCTGCCATTGCTGATTGCATCATCATACTCGAAGAATCTGGAAATGTGTGTTTGCACCTCTGCAAGCCTTGAGGCCGCTGGCCAGCACAAGTGCCCATTCTCATCTACCGGAAATTGTTCCACTTCCGACATGGATGAGCGTGTGATGCCCTGGCTGCATTGCACAAAGAGACTTTTGTGCACTTGTTCAGTCTCCAGCCTCTTTTCCACAGCGTCCAGAAGCGCATCCATGTCCATGCGTCGCCACACAGCTCTCGGATTTCGCACTCAGCCTTGGTACACCTCATCCACTGATTGTTTTCACTTACCTACCCTGCTGTTGTGCTGTTGTACTTTGAGCCCTCCTTTGAGCACCTTTGAGCTCCTTTGAGCCACTTTGAGCTCCTTTGAGCAGTTGTGAGCAACTGTGAGCATTTGTGAGCAACTGTGAGCATTTGTGAGCACTTTGTGAGCAATTGTGAGCAAATGTGAGCAATTGTGAGCACACATATTAAATTAAACTCTAATTAGAATCTCTTAGTTTGACACTAGTCACACAATTGACACTCATTTTGTTCTCCTCTGGCATGTTGCTCCCACAACAGGTTCCCTTCCAATGCATCGACGGTCTATGGGATTCTGTTGCTAGGCAGGCATGTTCTAATTTCATACCTCTCCCCAAGACTCATCCCCGATATTCCGCAAGAGTACTCGATGGTAGTTCCATCAGTACAAAGGGTTGAGCATTCAAAATCAATAACGAACTGCACAAATAGTCAGTAGCAAAATGGCCTCACAATCCTCCCGAGTTGTTCATCTACAAAACCATGGGCTGCACACCATCAGACTCTGCCGCGCCAGCGTCTGCCAACTCAGCATCCAATGCCTCATCACCCTCAATGGCATGTCCAGCAGCCGACGGGGCCGATGCTCCAGCAGCTGATGCAGGAACAGCATTTCCCTGGAACTGGATGGAAGTACTGCGTTGGCACTTGTATGGGCAAAGTCCACGGCAGTTCTGAAAGTTCCACCAGTTCTCCAAGCAGACCTTGTGATGCACATGACCACATTCAGTTGCCTCCAGCACTTGAGCAGGAAGCCCACCACCACGCAAAGGCTGCTGGCAGATGCAACACTTCGTATCACTCAAGTCGGACTGTTGCTGCAAGGCGCCATCACCAGGAACATCCACTGCAGTCGCAGCTGATTCAGGAGGAACTACCTCTTGATCAGCTTCAGGTTCAGGCCCAGGTCCTTCCTGAATGTCAGCACTTGCTTCATGTTCTTGCTGACCAACAGAACTCTGGGCCTCCAGCTCAGCCTCAATATCAGCCTCGAACTCTGCCATCACGACATCCTGGCACAAAAGATAAGTCAACACAATTCAGGCCTATTCCTTAAACACTATGCACTGCACAGAACTGCGAGACGAAATGATGATTGCTTGATTGTCTCGCCTGAGGACAGGATTACTATAAATATCTATAAATGATGCAATACCCGGCCCGAGGTTGAGACACCCTAAACACCGAACATCAAACGCAACGCTCATTGGGGACCTCTGCGACTGCAGCGGCAGGGCTTGTCACAGGCGGCGGCGGCACAGCAGGTAGAGAAGCAGCAAGGACAACAGGGCGGGTAGCAGCTTCAGTTGCAGCTGGA